CAGGAGGCCAACTAAGGAGCAAATGGCAGCGGAAAGCCCCATCGCAAAGGCGTACTGGGCACAATGGAACAGCTTAAAATTAATATCTGGCTGTTTGCATAGGGTATGGGAAAGCGAAGATGGCCAGTGCTCCCGCAACCTGATAGTAGTTCCTATGAGCGCGCAGGGAACAAATACGTCCTTGTTGTTATGGACTACTTTGGCAAATGGCCGGAGGTATACCCGATTCCAAACCAGGAAGCTAAAACAGTAGCGGAGGTATTCACCTACAATTGGGTTGCGAGATACGGTGTACCTATAGAGCTGCACTCTGGGCAGGGAAGAAATTTTGAATCGGCGGTGTTCCAAGAGATGTGCCAGATACTGGGTATCCGGAAAACTCGAACAACGGCTCTTCATCCGAAATCAGATGGCATGGTGGAACGGTTTAACCGAACCCTGGAAGAGCATTTGCGGAAGGTCCTGGACAAAACACAGAAAAATTGGGATGTCCGCATACCCTTGTTCCTGATGGGATACCGGTCAGCAGTGCATGAAACAACGGGTAAGACTCCTGCAAGGGTAATCTTCGACAGTGAGCTCCGTTTTCCTAGTGACCTGAAGTTTGGGGTAACTGGCGATGCAAGGAGAATTGGGAAAGAGACGTCCAACATCCTGGAAGAGGAGTTAAGAGAAATACATGCTCTTTTGAGATAGCGAACTCAAATTATGAGTGTCAAGATGAAGGCCAGGTATGACAAGGCAATGAAATCCGAGAGTTTCCAAGAGGGAGACTTAGTTTTGCTGTACAATCCACAACGGAAGAAAGGTTTGTCCCCAAAACTACAATGCAACTGGGAAGGCCCGTATAAGGTCGTCAAACGGCTGAATGACGTAGTGTATCGAATCCAGACCGTTGGGAGACCAAGAAACAAGATGAAGGTGGTCCACTTGGAAAGGCTTGCAGCGTTTGGAACAGCAAGTGTGTCTGATCGGGACGATCAGACTTAGGTGGAGGGCAGTGTGACGAATACTGCGGCAACGCGAAGCGAACAACGAGAAATAGGCAGAATGTTCGAGGAATGACGTAGAATGTTCCACAAAGAGAAATGTCAAGTTGGATGAACACTGCGAACAGCGAGAGAAAGAGAATGAGCGATAAACTTCAGAACGTTCTAGAGTTGCCATAAGTACGAGCGCAGGTATATAAGGGCGCCGCCACAGCGAAGTGAGTCAGTTACAAGTCAGCAAGCTACAAGTAAAGTGAGCAAAGAAGTGAGTTGCGAATAAGCAAGCTATAAGTTTATTGTGTTAAAAAGTTTAGTAAAGCGTTGTTATTGCTTACAATAAAGTTAATTGTACTACAATTTGGTCATCGTTAGCGTTTATTTAAGAGTCCAGCGATACGAACCGGGAGATTTGGGAAATCCAGACGAGGTTTCAAGGATAATCTTATTAATACAATATCCTCTGGGTATTCACGTACAAAAGTGCTGTCGCTCTCAGCTTTATTATGCTCGGCATTATCTGCAGGCAAATCTTCTGGCAAATCAGAATCGGAGCTGCAAGCATGCATTTAAAATAAATACTGTATTTTAAAGGGAACTTTTAACATACGTTGTGCTCTTGTATTCCAGCCCAGTGACGAATTCATCCTCTGTATCGTCATCATTGGTCTTATCTTTTTCGTTCAATTGCTTTCTTTTTTCAAGACGCATTTGCTTCCATGCACAAATTTAATTAGCTCATCAGCTGTGAATTTATGATCTGAAAAGAAAGAAATTTGCATTAAGCAATTGTAAAGACATGAAATCAATCAATTCACTAATTTTATTGCCATTTCACAAACCGAATTACCAAGAAATAGAAACTCACCGCGATGGGATACAGAAATAAAAACCAACAGGGTTACATTTTCTTGGTAAACAACATTTCATCAGAAGCGCTCAGAGCAATCTGATCCGCAATATTATTTTGAGAAAAATACGAGTTGAAAAGAGTTTTTACACATGATTATCATATTATTTAATTAGTGCAAATTATTGTGTTTATTTTTAGTCGAATATAATTGTATTATCTCATACTTTTTTCAATGTTTTCTAATATTCGTTCTTTTAGCATGCTTAAGCAACCATGCGCTCAATTTTTTGTGTGAAACTTGGTCCCCATAAAGGACTTTCACCACGAAGCAGTTACAACAACAAAAACCTTTTCTGTCAAGAATGATAGAATACAAGATTGCGCCCATGAGAGAGGATTTTTGAGCGTAATTTTTTGCGTGACGTATTCTTGGTGCAATTGCTAGAGAGAAATGCCAAAACGCATAGGAAAATATGTAAATCATGCGAAAGAATGTGTTAATATCAACATTAAGGGCCGTTTGCACCATGTCTAGTTAATTCTAACTCTCAGTTAAACATCTTTATCGACGTTATCGACACCCATCATATAACATGTGATCGATAAAGCAGTTAACGTGCTTAACTGAAGGATGTACCTCCAGTTAGCGTTAACTAGACATGGTGCAAACGGCCGTAAATGGTCCAATTTTGACGGAATTAATAAATATACAAAGTTTAATTATATAGGAACACGTAGCAATGATTTTGGGCACGTAGCCCTTTAGGTAAGTACGATTTTCAGCACATGCAGGATGGTGGAAAAATGCGTGAAGTTATATGTATGTAGGTATGTACAGAAAATAAAACTATTTTATATCGCACGCTTGCCTTTTGTTTTCACTTTTATAGATATATTAACGCACAAATATTTAAATTAGAAATGTTTAGTTATTTTCCCACTCATTTTGAGTTAGTGGGCGGAGGGGGAGGGGCGTGGGTATTTGTATCTAATCCACTAGAAAGAGCACAGTTCACACTTTGTAAAAAGTCACACCTGATCCCTTGAAACCTACCACATACCCCTGGGGAACCATTAGAAAATGGTCTAAAATTAGCATTTTGACACCGGAAATGTAAACTCGATAAACAGTATTTATGTGCAGAACACCTTTCTATTGTCAAAGGTATTCAACATTTATTGTGTATATAACTCCGGCTACGCCATCCACAGTATATTTGCGTAGAATTCACTCCGAATTTCACAAAAAAGTGTATTTTTCAGACCGAAATTATTAATAAATTAGTAGTAAATTACAATAAAGTGTAGACCTTTGACAACAAGTGTGTGTAAAATTTTTTTGGATCGGGTTACCAATTCGGACACAATGGCCCGAAATCATTGGATAAATAACTAAAACGTACCCATTATTTGGTTTTGCTCAATCAACAATTGCACCAAGATGACGTCACGCACACAGCTGATTCTGTCAAATTCACAAATAGCGGATTAGCGATACCGCGATGGGCGCAATCTCTATTTCTCTCAATTGTGCTTTTCTACTGGTATACTGTGGTCGCTTTGTCTGAAGTTCATAGAAAGGAAGATGAAGTTTTGTAGCCCATAAAATGTTAGGGGTACTGTTTAGTAAGAGGCCCAACTATTTCGGGCTATTCCGTCCAAAGAGGTGACCCGATTCAAAACCCACACACTTGTAGTCAAGGGTCTACACATTATTTTAACACCTACTTTTGTAATTTTCGGCCCGTAATTTATTTAGAAATTTGGTTTGAAATATGCCCATTTTTGTAAAATTCAGAAATTTGCATATAATAATTACTCCTAATCTCCTTAAAGCAGCCAGTTCATCAATACGTTTTTATTTTCGCCTTCACTTTACACTTTATTCGTTATAACTTTTTTATTCCTTTAATTTCAACCAATTAATCACAATTTATTAAATAAAAACCCCTTGAAAATCGCGCTTTACGTTTGGTTGCATATGCAAATTAACTCCATGATGCAATAATACAAGGTGTTATCAGTTGGCAACTTCTCGCTCTAATTCCGCCATATTGACTGCCTTACGTGAAACAGTGTTACTTCTTTAACTATTCTTTGCCCATTAATATAGTTGAATGTTTTTTATTTTTTCTCAGTATACACACTTTGTTTTCTTAAAAAGGTATTTTACCTTATTTTATTTCATTTCATAACGAATATACTATAAAAAAAGCAAATTTTGTTTAGGAGAAAATGTGAAATTTTATATTTTTCCCCCATATGGGGATTCATTTCTTCCCGTTTTTCTTCTCATTCTACTGAGCTAAGGCAGTGTCAAATCGAGCTGTCACAACTGATACCACCTTGTATTACTGCATCATGAAAAAAGAAACAGAATAAAATAAGATATAACCCAGTAAACATTAAAAATATAAACCTTTTCATGGAAAATATGTGTTCTCTGCAAAAGGTGCTCAGCCGCTCTTCTTCGGCAACGCAGAAGGTACGGATGTTCAAATAAGATCGGTGTTTCCAAAAACAGTTTTTTTTTAAATTTGGTTAATGATCTTTATCAGTCTTTTTTTAATTAAGCTGTTAACCTTGTTTTGCCTTTAAACCAAAAACCGAAAATGCGGTTCTTACATTTCTCGGCAATGGATAATTACTTTGCAATTCGTCGAGATAAGAATAACATTTTGCGGCGTACCACAAACTTCAAATTCACTACTCAGTTTTTGCTAGCTGATCTAGTAGCTAAGTATAATCAGTTGTGAAGGCGATTGTGAATATGGAATTTTCGTACCGAGTTTAAAACTTGGATTTATATGTCGCTTGTTAAAACATAACCCATATTTTAATAAAAAAAAGTACAAAAAAAAATTACCATATAAAACATTGCAAATATTGAAAAAAAAACAACCACTGTGTACCCAATTTTGAAGTTAATAATATTTTAAAATATACATAAGTACATATGTACCTAACTATATACATATCGCTCATTTACGTAAATATGGTCCTAATCAAAAAAATACAAATTTTGAGTTGAGTATGCAGAAATTACCGCTACCTTTTCTTCTTTGTTGTGTAAAAATTTCATAGCTGTACCGAATACCAGTATCTCACTAGAACAAAATATGCATTCCTTCTTACTATGGGAGTAAACGTAAATTCAGAACTCTAAAGCAGGTTTTCTCGAGTTTTGCTTTTTTGAATTAATACACTATTGAAATAAATGAGCGATATTTATTTTTTATAAATTAAAAGTCTTTTTTGTGGAATTAAGTTTGTGTTTATATAAATATGTAAAACGTTTGTTGTTTTAAGTAATTTGCGTTGCATAGCAGCAAGTAATAAGTGTAAGTGAAAATTTAATTTAATTTAATATCGATGTTTTTTGGTTTTTTTGCAGTGTTTTTTTTTGTAATTGGGACTTTTCGGTAAACCGAAAAGATCAGCTTTTTTAACACAGTTTTTAAACGGTTTAAAACCTGAATAAAAATCCGTGATTAATCAAAAAAACGATTTTTTGGAAACGGAGCCCCTCCCTAACAGAAAGGAGAATTCTACTTAGTGAGGGTTATAATCCCGAAGGCCGCCTACGCTGAAAGGTGCTCTCTGCAAAAGGTGTTCAGCCCCTCTTCTTCAGCAACACAGAAAGGAAGTAGAATTCCTACTTCGTGAGGGTGATAATCCCTAAGCGCGGCCAAAGGCCGCCTACGCAGAAAGAAGGTCTGGCCTAAAATACTATCATATTACAATTACTATAACATTTTTACCTGTCGCGCTTTTTTTAATATAATAATATTTTTTGTGAAACTTTTTTTAACAACTTTTTTAGTTAACTTTTTTTTATACAAACCACTCGGGACAATTTCTTTTATTCAAAAATCCCACGGTTTCTGTTAGTTGGGTTATATTCCACTTCAAACTGCTTAGTTTGTGGGTTGATCCGAAGGAGGGGGTGCGGCTTTTTATAAAGTGGGGATTGTCCTTTTTCTAATAGGATGGGTTTAGGGAGCCACGCCCCCTCACCCTCTGCCCCACCCCAAAAACGGTGGGCCAATAACTAAATATTTCCCAATGTTAATGTAATCAAATAAAACACCTCTTTGAGGTAAAATTTTCGAGTGATGAAAGCTGAACTAGAAACGCAAAATTTATGATATCAATTTCGTGACGAAAATTATACGCATTTTTTAACTGTCTTGGAAACGTAGTAAAAATCTTTTTTATTCATACGAATCGTTGCATAAGTTCTGTTTTTTATTTTGGCTGAATTTATTTATTCATTCTGAACGTTTGGAATAAACTTTTTTGTTTACTTATTCTTTAGAACGTTCCTGATGATATGTTAACGTATATTTCAAAAGCATTCTGTTTATTCCCGCTGTGAAATGGGATTATCCGGAATGTATAAAGAAACGCAGCCTTTGTGTTTCTAGCAGTAAACGCAACGTTCCGAATAAATAAAAAAAGATTTTCCGTACGTTTCAAAGGCAGTTAGAAAATGCGTATAATTTTCGTCACGAAATTGATATCTTACATTTTGTGTTTCTAGTTCAGCTTTCGTCACTCGAAAATTTTACCTCAAAGAGGTGTTTTATTTGATATCAATTATTTTGGGGTAGCAAATTTAAAATCGACCAAAATACAAACAATAATCTAAATGTTTTATTTTTCTCAAATAAATTGCTAAAAATATTATCTAAATCTAAATTATGTATTCAATTCGATGTGTCCATCGAAACACATAATTTTTCGAATACGAAATAAAGCGAAAAAGAATGATCATATCCTTTGTATTCGAAAATATTAAAAATATAAGAAATGATAAAAACTTATCAACTTGGTACCAACT